GAACTAGAGCCTTGCTGATGGGAAACGGTTCGCATGCGCGTGTTCTTGGTGTTGGTACGGTCGTTCTGAAGTTTACTTCGGGAAAGACGGTGCTATTAAAGAACGTGCAGCATGTCCCCTCCATTAAGAAGAATCTTGTTAGCGGTTCTCAAATGTGTCACGATGGCTTTAAAATTGTGCTTGAGTCCAATAAGTGTGTTGTGTCGAGACATGGAACATTTGTTGGAAAAGATTATGATTGCAGAGGCTTATTCCGCTTATCTTTGCTTGATGATGTGTGTAATAAAGTAGTGAACAATGTTAATATTTCGGATGAGTCGAATATATGACATTCACGACTTTGTCACATTAATTTTAGCTATCTCACGCAGCTTGCAAATCTAAATTTAATCCTAAAATTTAACTTAGTCAAAGATTCTAAGTGTCAGGTGTGTGTGCAATTGAAGCAACCGTGCAAGCCTCACAAGGCTGCTGAGGCGAGGAACTTGGCACCATTAGAACTCGTTCATTCTGATTTATGCGAAATGAATAGTGAATTGACTAAATGCGGTAAACGATACTTCATGACATTTATAGATGATTGTACTAGATTTTGCTACGTGTATTTATTGAAAACTAAAGATGAAGCGCTGCATTATTTTAAGGTCTATAAAGCTAAAGTAGAAAATCAACTTGAGAAGAAAATCAAACGTTTGCGGTCCGATCGCGGGGAGAATATTTCTCAAATGAATTTTCGAGTTTTATGTGTGGTGCATGGAATTATTCATGAGAGGACGCCACCATACTCACCACAGTCCAATGGAATTACAGAGAGAAAGAACCTCACTCTAACTGATTTGGTTAACGCCATGTTAGAGATGTGGGACTATCTAAGGAATGATGGGGTGAGGCTATATTGACAAAGTGTGTCATGTCCCCTAATAGGGTGCCCACAAAGAACAAAGAAATTACACCATTCGAGGAATGGGAGAAGAAGAGATTAAATCTCTCTTACCTGTGAACTTGGGGTTGCTTGGCAAAGGTGAATGTGCCAATAAACAAAAAGCGAAAGCTTGGACCAAAGACTGTTGATTGTGTTTTTCTTGGTTATGCTATTCACAATGTGGGTTATAGATTTTTAATTATAAATTCTAGTGTTCCTGAGATGGTTGTTGATACAATCATGGAATTTAGAGACGCTACATTTTTTTGAGAATGAATTTCCCATGAAAAATGAACTTAGCACGACCGGTCATGAATTTATAATTCCCCATGAGCATAAAATTTTTACTCCGATAGAACAAATTGAGAAACCCTATATGCAAAATCCTGAGGAGGATGACACTATAGTCACTAGAAAAAGTAAGAGACAGAGGACTGTAAACTCTTTTGGTGAAGACTATATTGTGTACCTTGTGGATGACACACCAACGACCATTAAAGAGGCATATTCCTCTCTTGATGCTGACTTATGGAAGGAAGCAGTATGGAGTGAGATGAATTCTATTATGTCTAATGGAACTTGCGAAGTAGTTGATCGTCCTTATGGGTGCAAGTCTATAGGGTGCAAATGAATGTTGAAGAAAAAGAGCTTAGGCCTGATGGTACTATTGAGAGGTACAAAGCAAGACTTGTGGCCAAGGGTTATACTCAAAAGGAACGTGAGGATTTCTTTGATACTTATTCACCAGTTGCCCAATTGACTACAATTCGAGTTTTGCTTTCCCTAGCAGCCTCTTATGGTCTTATCGTTCATCAAATGGACGTTAAGACAGCTTTCCTAAACGGAGAGTTAGAGGAGGAGATCTATATGGATCAGCCGGATGGGTTTGTAGCAAATGGTCAAGAAGGCAAGGTGTGTAAATTATTAAAATCATTATATGGCCTAAAACAAGCTCCTAAGCTAACATCTGCTGGCTTTGTTGTGAATGAAGCTGACAAATGTGTGTACTATCGGTATGGTGTGGGTGAAGGAGTTATTTTGTGCTTATATGTTGATGACATACTGATCTTTGGATCGAGCCTCAAAGTGATTGAGGAGGTGAAGGGATTTTTATCTAATAATTTTGAAATGAAAGATTTGGGAGAGGTTGATGTTATTCTTAATATCAAGCTTCCGAGAGAAAAGGTGATGGTGGGGTAACTCACATAATCCCACTATATGGAAAAGGTGCTTTGAGTCGCTTTGGGTTTATTGACTGTGAACCTGCTCCTACACCTTATGACCCTAGTGTGCTATTGAGGAAAAATCGGAGAATAGCAAGGGATCAATTGAGATATTCCTAGATCATTGGTTCGCTCATGTATCTTGCTAGTGCAACAAGGCCTGACATCTCATTTGCTGTGTGCAAGCTGAGCCGGTTTGTGTCAAACCCGGGAGATGATCACTGGCGTGCTGCTGAGAGAGTGATGCGCTATCTAAAAGGCACTATGAGCTATGGTATTCGTTATACCGGACACCCGAAAGTGCTGGAAGGATATTGTGATGCCAACTGGATCTCTGATGCTGATGAGCTTTATGCCACAATTGGATATGTGTTTTTGCTTGGAGGTGATGCTGTTTCCTGGAAGTCTTGCAAGCAGACTATCTTAACAAAGTCTACAATGGAAGCAGAACTCATAGCATTAGACACTGTTGGTTCTGAGGTCGAGTGGCTTCGTGATCTCCTTATGGATTTACCGGTTGTAGAAAAACTCATACCGACTATTTCTATGAACTGCGATAACCAGACTGTGATTAAGAAGGTTAACAGTTCTAAGGATAACATGAAGTCCACAAGGCATGTTAAGAGATGACTAAAATCTGTCAGAAAATTGAGAAACTTCAGAGTAATAGCGTTGGACTATGTTCATATGTCTAACAATCTGGCAGACCAATTCACTAAGGGTCTGTCACGCAATGTGATAAAAAGTGCATCGAGAGAGATGGGTTTGAGACCCACATGAAATTTACTATAGTGGTAACCTATTCTATGTGATCGGAGATCCCGTGAAGTAGGATGGTGAAACAAGCTAGTAGTAAATTGTGAGGAAAGATCCTTAGTAAGACTCATTTCTAATGCATATCTTTCCTTTCTGTAAGGCAGGTTGGTTTTTACCTTAATGTGTTCCAAGTGGTTTGCTAAAGCAAAGATGTTGTCCTACATAACATCTTTTGAGGAACACACCTATACGAGTCAGACTGCTGATCACAGTCTATGAGATTTGGGTGATCTCTAAATACTCATGAAAGGCACTGGAGTATGACTTATATGCTTCAAATAGAGGGGATGCCTTTTGCAGCCTAGTATCAACTAAGGACTTTAGTGACATTCACCTCACATAAAACTGTCAATTCAAGGCTTAGTCCATTGTTCAGTTGTGACTGAGTGAAACTATTGCTCTAGATGGATGTTCAACTTAACAGTCTCCATCGAAACACTGGTATATAAAAGAAATGTGGTTCTAAGACTATTTTGTTACAAACCCTAGAGTTTGGTGGGGATTGTTGGATATATTATGGGCTTGACCCGTATAATATTTAATAAATCAAATAAAACTCTATGGTAGTAACATTAACCGTTGTATGGTTTAATACCGTACGGGATTTTGATTGAACGTTGACTCAGCTTATTTGGTTGGAAATTATCCATCTTAATTGAGAAGCTGAGAAAAGGACACAGGAGTGCCACACGCGCGCGCGCCACCGCCGCCGCCGCCGGCCGGGCCAGGCCGTGGGTGTGGGCGTGGGCGTGGGCGCGGGCCGGGCCAAGGCCGAGGCCGTGGCCCGTGGCAGGCAGGCGGGCATGGCCAGGTTTTGCCACTTAATTCACATAATTACGGGAGTTTCTCTCCTTTATAGTGGAGGCGAGTTGATTGCGCCAATTACTGTCTCTTCGTGTCTCCATCTTCTGAGATCCTCCGCTGGCTTTCTCCCTCCCCGCTGAAGGCATAGAAGTAGATGTCCTCTGTCAGTCCTCCCTTCCCTGTCAGTCCAAGACGTCTTCTTCCTAGTGATCGCTCGAGGAACAGCAAGGTGTCTTCATCCTGGTGACCGTTCGTGGGACTGCACTGCGAACATCTTCCTGTATCGACTGTGGTCCACGACTTCGAGCAACGCACTATGTCTGGTGCAAATGGAGCCTCCGATGCCCTCAGCATAGGACCCACCGCTGGGTACAATCTTAACTCTCTGATTATCGTACTTTGCGTACTTACTGTATCGATCAGTATGTCATACTTGCATGCTGTAGCATTTGTTAGTGATATACACATGCACATATATGTTGTCATGAACCTGCTGATGTTTTATTTCTGGATTAAATTAACCATGAAAATGCCTAATTATCTAACAGTAGGTGGGGCTGACTTATGACAAGCAATGGGGACAACATGTGATTTTTTTTTGAAAAAAAAACATTCATACAAGCATGTAAATTTGCTTTGATTGTTTTTGAAAAACAAACACTCATACACTGATACAGGCACCTCTACCTCTAAAGTTTGTTTTTGATCATCTCTGTAGAATGAAACCATTAGATTAGTGGAAAGAAGAAAGAATGGGAAGAAAGCAACCATGGTCAAGCTTTAATTTAATTAATATAAATAAGTATAAGTTATGACAACCTTTAAATTCAAGCTGAGACATGGCGTAACCACAATCTAAAAGTTCACAAAAGCAACAGAAACATACGGTTACAAATAGGTTTCACTTTTTATTCCCATGTAATTCCCATTACATGATCACTTGATCAGCTGGTCATATATGCATTACTCAAACTGAGATCAAGTGATGTGCTGTACTTCCATAAGTTCCTAATGTAGAATTATAGTAGCACTTCCTAATTTTAAGACCAAGAAAACACAAACCATTGACATGTAATTTAAGACCTTCATGCTATGGGTTTGCCTCTCTTCACTGGAAACAGAGCATCCCCAATATATCTGCAATTTTTTTTCTGACAGATTTGGTCTCTTTTCTGAGTAGTAATCCAACCTTTGATCTGTTACGGTTATCTCTCCAGGTTAAATGATTTAGAATTTCAGGTGCAGCAGTGGTGCACTGGTACTGCTAACTGACTTTCCTTTTCTTTTTGAATCCAGTCCAAGATCAAGCCTTGTAGCCGAACGGGAGCATGTGCACCCCATAAGTCGATCAAGTGAGAGATCATACGTGTCCGGTGCTGCACCTCCTGATCCTTTTGTTGCACCAGTTTTCTTTTCCTAGCTCCCTTAAAAGTTGTCCGTGCACCTGGAGCCTCCATGCTTGGCTTTCCAAAATGAACGTATGCAGTGCCATGTATAGCCTTCCAAAGTATTTGGTAGACTGTCGCTTCAGTGTTTTGTTGGAAGTAATCTATCGCATTTGGCAGCATGATTTCTTTCAGTTGTTCCAAGGTAATGTCAGTATGCTCGCAATGTTGTCCCCTCCTGAAGATAAGAGCCATTGTAGAACTTCTATCCGCAGGTAGCATGTTTTCTGAAGAACCATGGGGAGTAAAGAGGAGTCCAGCTTTCAGCTTTTGATAATCGCGCAGAGAATATTTGTATTCAGACAGTGAGGTCCGTTGTTTATTGTACTCGGATAGTGAGATCTGACACTGCAATTTACTACAATAATTGAATCCAGAGAAGCATCCGTGCCTACGTTACTAATATGGCCAACCTTATGCTGATCATGCTGCTTGCAACATAACGGGTCTGGACGAAACCATTGAGTGCTAAAACTATGAAGATTGTCCCAGTGTTTTCTGTGCCATAGATCAACATATGGCACCCATGAGAAGTCCAGTGTAGGCAGCTGAGTGAGCTCTTTCTTGATGGTTTCAACTGTAGGCTGGAAACAAGGAGGGAAGAGCTGCAGGCAGTTCACTACGGTCCCAACAATGTCTGTGCTTTCTGATATCTGCAGCATTGCACCAAGAAAGAAGTTATCTTCAAGTGTATTTCTGTCTTTCTTGATAAATACCAAGCAAACTTTTATTCCATGCTCTTTTGTAGCAAAGGGCACCAACCATAGTAGAAACAAAGGGTACTCATTTCCGCGGACAATTTTGTGTTGTAGTTCCCTGCCTGCAAAAAGGTGCTTGACAAAAGAGTTGAATGACATCTGATGGGATGGTGTGCCACCAAGCTCTATGAATCTCAAAAACTCACTAGCACTATCTGCAAACCACTCGAATCTTCTAACAATAGATCTGCTGGACTCATAGTTGTTGCGGCCAAAGGAAGAGAAAATAAAAGATTTGGTAGCATGTGCTATTCGTCTAGGAAAGGAAGAATTCCTCACCTCATGTTCCATCTGTTCTTCTTCAACGATTATCTTCTTGTGTTCGTACAGCATGTCATTGCACTCTTGAGGAGCTCGCTTCAGCTTCTTGCGCCACCGCAACAATGATGAATCAGTGACCTGCCACTTACTGGATGTCTCAAGACCAGCCTCCCGCTTGATGTGTGCCTCTCCAGCCTCTCTAAGTTATCATTTTGATTTGAGTCTTCTTTGCCCTCATACCTGTGAACCAGACCAGATAGAATTTGGTTAACCATCTCCTGGACAACCACAGAACTGACCATCTCGCTCATTAGGATCCAATAAGTATTTGTAGCATCACTTCCCTGCTCAGAAAAAAAAGCATTTGTACATGAGGAGACTAAAGAGATGAATGGAATCTTGTACAGAATCAAATTAAATGTGTTCCACAGAGGAACATTGGAACACCAGAAAATAAATAGCTTACCAGCTGTAAGGACCAACCCTCAATTGAAATGCAAGGAAGTAATAAGGAGTTCTCGCAAGTGTATATAAAGATATTCTGGAGGGTAATGTGAATGTGATGCCCAAGACTTCAGACCACTAGTCTCCCTGCACCACTATACCGGGTTCTGTCTGCACCCACACTACGGATCGAAAGTTAGAAAAAAAAGGAGAACAGAGCAAGCACGCACAATACAAGACAACAACGTTGGCCGAGGCCCTGTCTGTGTGATGGCAAATCTAAGCTCTCTTTACTGAGTTGCCTTGGTGCCCTATTTATACAACTCTATCTATCTAACCAAAGTACAGCGCACATGCTGTAACAAAGAATTAGATAAGCATACAGGGCTGACTCATGGCGCCACCTTGCATGTGCCTACAAGGTCGCAGTGTGCCGTGCGGCGCCTGCACCAAGCAGCTACATGATACAAATAGGGGTAAAGTCGGCGCCGCCTTCCCTCTCGTTGTATTTCACACAAGGTGGCGTGAGATTAGCTAACAATCTTTCCCTAATCCTACATCGCTAACCCTTGCACCCCTTCCATGCTGATCATCTCCTTCACTCCGTGAGTCGAAGTCATCCGAAAGCGGCTTGGTGAGGATGTCCGCGAGTTGCCGACCAGTTTCAACAAACTCGATGACGATCGCCTCCATCAACACACCCCCGAGGAAGTGGAACTTCACGTCGATGTGTTTACTCCGATCGTGCAGAACCGGATTCTTCGCGAGGGCGATGGCGGGCTGGTTGTCCACCATCGCTCTTGGTGGGTGAGCTTCCACGCCGGTTAGCTTCGCCAGGCAAGAGCCGCGAGCTAGCACGCAACTTAACGCGCCATTGTGGCGCCAAGCACGTACTCACCGCGCCACGTAGATAGCGCCACCACCTTCTGTTTTAGCGACAGCCATGAAATTGGGGCCGACCTGGGAAAGACGAGTACGCCAGAGGTGCTCCGTCGTCCGTCGATGTCCCCCGCCATGTCTCAATCGCTGAACACCGTGAGCTACAGCCTACTTCCCTTGGTCTTTGGGAAGATGATTCCATGATTCACCGTCCCCTTGACGTAGTGTAGTAGCCGCTTCACCGCAGCCCAGTGATCCTCTCTGGGATCCTCTATGAAACGACGGATGTAGCCCACGGCGAACGCAATGTCCGGCCTTGTGTGGACTAGGTAGCGCAGACCGCCGACGATGCTCCGGTAGAGTGTTGCATCTACTTTTGGCGCGGTGCTGTCCTTCGTCAGCTTCAGTCGCTCCTCCATCGGAGTCACGCATGGCTTGCACTCCACCATGCCGCTCCTCTCCAACAGCTTGGAGGCATACGCGCTTTGCCCGAGCGTGAGTTCCTCCTTCCCTTGTCTCACCTCGATGCCGAGGTAGTAGGAGAGAGCGTCGAGATCGCTCATTCGGAAACGAGCTGCCATCTCTCGCTTGAAGCTGTTGATATCCTCCGTGCGCACACCGGTGACGATTAAGTCATCCACATACACGCCACCACGAAGTTCTTCCTTCCCGCTGTCACAGCGTAGAGTGCGCGTGTGCTTCGGTTGCGCACCTCTGAAACCCAAGCTTCGCCAAGGGTGTCAAGCTTGGCGCTCCATGCTCGAGGGGCTTGCCTCAGCCAGAGCGCTTATGCAATCGGAGCACCCTGTGCTCCTCTCCTTGACAACGAACCTCGGAGGTTGCGTGGCGAAGACCGCTTCCGCCAATTTCGCCGTTGGAAGGCCGATTTAATGTCCAAGTGATGGACGCCAATCCTTTTGTCGCCGCCAAAGCAAGTAGCAAACGGATCGACTCCATGCGCGCTTCTTCGGTGCAAAGACCTCCTTGAAGTCGATGTCCTCGCCCGACAAAGCCTCGGGCGACGAGGCACGCCTTTGTACTTGACAATGGCACCGAGCTCGTCCCTTTTGACTTTGTACACCCACTTCAGGGCTGATCGGATGGCATCCTCGGGGTGGATCGACGAGCTGCCAAGTCTCGCTTTCCTCGATCGCCTTCATCTCCTTCAAGATTGCTCGTCGCCAGCTTTCCATCACGCCGGCTAGCGCGAAACGTGGGTGGTTCCTCCCAGACCGACGAGTAGCGGCTCAAGGTCGTTGAGCAGCCTACCCGCCAGATCTAAAGGACTCGTGTTGCCGACGATGTCGCCCAAATTTCGCTGGAACCTCAACTCCTCACCTTCGTGGTAGGCGCCCACGAACTCGGTGATGTCACTTGGAGGTGAGGCGAACTCGATCGGGGTGATGGAGTTCCTTCTTCCGCCGGAGTGCCCCGCATAGCACCGGTGCTCGGCCGCTTCGATCGCTTTCGTCATAACTCCCCGCAGTGTTCACCACACCGTAGGAGTGCCCACCTCGATCTTTGGAGTGGTCGGTACCACAAGAAGACGTCTTGGCTCCGCCACGGAGTGCTCGGCACCATTCCCAAAGTGGTCGCCACCATCAGAGAACCTCCTGGCTCCACTCTGGCGTGCTCGGCATTCCTCCGTAGTGCTCGACACTCCTCCCGGAGTGCGCGGCATCCTCCTCAAGTGCTTGGCACCGCCCCGTAAGTGCTCGACTCTACCGCCAGAGTGCTCGGTGCTCCTCCCGGAGTGCGTGTGCACCTGTTTCGCAGCGCTCCACCATTGGTGGATGACCAAGTGCTCGACGATGAAGGTGTTGGTGAAGCCTCCCGCTTCCCCATGCTCGGATCGTGCTGGGCCGCAAGTCGCCTCCTCGTTGAACACAACGTCACATGAGATACCACCTTATCTCCGCGTGGTCGGTCATAGAGCCGCGCGCTTTGGTACCCTCCGCGTAGCCTGTGAACACCATGGGTGTGCTCCTCGCCCTCTAGCTTGGTGAGGTTCGCTTTGTCTTCTGGACGTGGCGATGCAACCGAATGTCCGGAGGAATGACACGCTCGCTTGGCGCCTGCATTCCAAGCTTCGAACGGCGTCTTGCCCGTTAGGGCTTTGGTTGGAGCGCCGTTGAGGATGAACACCACCGTGGTCACCGCCTCTCCCGTAACTTTGCCAGATCCTTCGGCCTTCATCATGGATCGGGCCATGCCGACCACTGCCTGTTCCGCCGCCCACCACGCCATTCTGTTGTGGCGAGTATGGTGCGGCGTGATGTTGCCCCACACCTTGATCCACGCAGTACGTAGCAAACTCCAACAAAGTGAATTCGCCACCCCGATCAGTCCTCAGTACACGGAGCTTCTTGCGCTTCGGCCTCCGTCGCGCGTCTTGAACTTCTTGATCGCCACCGCCGCTTCGCCCTTGCTCGTCGAGTTGCGGCCACATGTAGCGCATCGTAATCGTCCCACGAAAGGGAGGAAGTACCGCCGACCACCGCATGTAGCAGCGTGGATCGGCCCGCAGAGGTCGCCGTGAACTAGCTCGAGAGCTTCTTCGCGATACTTGGCCGCTTTTGGGAAAGGTAGCCTTCTTCGCTTCCCGGCAGCAAATTGTCACACATACCGCCTCCGTGTTTGATGTGGGTAGCCCTCGACCATCTTCCCCAATCGACCAAGCGCCGTCCGGTCGAGATGTCCGAACCGGCATGCCACATCCACGGTTCCTCGAGTGCCTTGCCGCCAGTAAACCGGTGCTCTACCTTCAGTCGAGCGGTACAACCAGTTCCTGGGACCTCTTCACCTTGGCGAAGTCACTACTCCCCGGTCTCTCGATCCTTAGAACGCCGCCTTTGATCGAACTCGCTATCAAGCGCCATCCAAATGACCAATGCCGATGATGTCGGAACTCATCCTCATCATCGGCTTTCGCCAGTGAGCCTCGAGCCTTCTTTTCCTTCTTATGATTTGGGCACTCCTGCGCCCAATGGCCCATCTTCCCCCAACACGCATAAAGCGTTGAGTCGATTTGATTCTTCTCCAAAGAAGCCCCGCCACTATGTTTGTCGCTGCCACGGCCGATTGGAGGAGGCTGCCTTCCTAGAGTTTCGCCGAGCAAATTTCACTCTTCTTCCGTCGCCAGGAGTTTCCTCGCTGTCCTTCATTGTTGTCGCCACACCAGCGCCATCCACCGCCTGCCAGACGGCCCGCCACATCCTCGATGGTGAGGGTGGACAAGTCCAAAGATCATCTCTATAGAGAGAGCGATCTGGATGTACTTTGCCAGCACAGAGTGGAGGAATTTGGAGACTGCCTCCTCTTCGTCGATGGTGATGCCATGGCTCTTCAGCTTGCTGATGAGCATCTACAGGCAGAGGGAAAAGTCCTCCACCGCTTCACCATCCTTGAACTTGAGGTTTGCGTACTCCGCTTCTTGAAGCCGGGCCGCCGCTTTCTTTGCGCTGGGATCGGAATCGACGACATTGCCGCAATGGCCTCCCCCCGCCTCCTTAGCTAAGCTTTTCATCCCCAACGGTTCCTCAGATTCACGCAGACAAAGAAGCGAGGATAGCCTCCAACGCCGACATGTCATCTTCTTCCATGTTGGTGCCCTTGTCATCAGTGATTCCAGAGCCGCTGGCTCTCGAGCTTGACCTTCATGGTCACCGACCACTCTCCATAGTTAGTGTGAGTCAAGATCGGCCAAGTGGTGCCACTGACCTCCCGCACCGTCAAGGCGGACAACTACCTCCGATAGTGGTCGGGCAGCTATGATAGCGCTGCCGCTTGCCGCCTAACTCCAAACCGCCTGCCATCGCCATCTGGTTAGAATGACGACGGCGCTTGCACACAGCTCCGATACCACTTGTTGGCCCACGGGATCATCGTCTGCACGATAGTGAACTAGTCTCCATACCACTAGTCTCGCACCACTAGTCTTCTAGACCACTAGTCTCCCGCACTGCACCACTAGTCTCTG